TTTGAGAAATTACCAGACAGGTATTACCAAACATGACACGATTTCCAGACGTTTAACCTTGACTGTTTACACCATTGAATGGCCTGGTCTAAAAGCAAAGGCCGACTGACAAGATACAGTCTGGTGCTGAGAACAGCATTCGGACAAGAAAAAAACGATTTAGTTGATCCAGACATGTGAACGACATAAGCGAGGGACCAGGTAGGGATTCCGGTTATGCAACTATTTGGTGGAGGGTCTAATGGGCGACCGTTTTGGGTGAAAACTAGGCATATACAGTGGCCTCAGTATACTTCCCATGGGTGGAAACCTCACATGCCAGCCGACCACTTCATCCATGTCTCGCGAACTTTACTGCTGAATAGTCACGAATATCAACAAAGGAACCAGAAAGTTTCGGCAATTTTAGTCCTAGTTGAGGTCAGCTGATTTAGGAAATCAAGAAACATGAGTAGTTATCAATAGTTCATTCTCGCCAGGTAAGCTGGGAGTCTCAGTTTTAGTTGTATTGCTTGTTTTGGGCGGGTGTTTCTGATAGTGACTAATGAACTCGATAGTTGAACTGACCATAACTAGGGACCGTCCAACGGCTTACTGAGACATACTGTAAAACGTAGACTCAGCGTTGGTTAGTCTGGATTTTCGGGTCATTGGACACTTCAAATGGTCGTTGTTTTGAACCAATCTCTGATTCCTCGACTGTTGATAAGCACTTTACGAGGAAGTGAATGCTCCTTTCCTGCCGCATCGACCGAACTCAAGGCAGAGTTAATTACGGAGAAATGACTGACAGCTTTTAGAATGCTAGGCCGGCAACAACTTGAAGGACGCCGACTCACTGAAAATAATTTACAGCTTTTGCCAAGTGCCACTGAAGGAATATTGTCAGACGTTATTGCCGGCGAAACGGTTGTTACGTGCTTGCTGTAAATGCGAATCAATCATCATTTAATGGTTTACTTTGGCAAACAGTTTTAAAAGGGTTTTTTAAGCCTGACCTCGTGGTAATATCGTCCACGCTGTCCGAATAGCAGAAGGTATGTTACCGCAAGGGTGAATGTCAACAAAAAACATATAGTGATCTAGTTGTTGGACAAAGAACGGATGACTGTAAGGATCAAACACTCAGTGTGACGGAGTTTGATCGGTATTGTTGCTCTCGGCTCTAAACAGGTGCCGATCATTGCGAAGCGGAAGTTCGACTACCATCATGACCTTAGAAACGAACTTAGAAAAAACCTAGCTGTTCAATTTTTCTGACAAGTCCACCAGATGTTCACTGCGGTTGGGAATCTATATATATATATATAT